ATAGTTATATGAAATGTTATATGTGTTGGAATTTTACACCACCTTGTTGTGCGATTACTCTTTTCAACTAAATGTAGTATATCCACATCTAATCACAGAACAATTAAACAAAACAGTTCAATCTATTGTCAATCTATTTGCTCCATTACAAGTGCACCACCAATAAAAGTACACCCTAACAAAAAAATGCATTGCTTGTATACTGAATCGTTAAAAAAATATGAATTATTTTGACCACACATCTGTCATTTACATAAATACTAATAAACAAATATTTTCAGTGTCAATGTAACATTCAATAATTCATTAGACCATGAAGCTTTATGAATGAAAATTTGTAGCTAAAATATGAGCTAAATTTAATTATCAAGATTTGAGTGTAATGAAATATTTTGCTTTTCACTGTTTGACTATTTTATAAACATTTTTCATTTGAATCTAAATAATGCACTGTGATTGGCTATAAGAATGTCACATGATGCAGTCCTATTCCATATAGTATGAATGACAACCTCTCTGATCGGCCGAATAGATTACAACCAAATTTACACCAAAATGTTGTCCGTAACTTTGTTGAAAACTATATTTTCAAATTGACAAACATGTACCATAAGTATTATTCAATGTAAAGATTTTCTTATGTTAGTCAAGATATCAGGTAATTGACATGACTTACCAATGTATTGAGTTATCTATTACATATTTTGCAAACTGTCATCATAATGTGTTGCTTCAATCCTTGTACATTTCTTTTTTGTGCACAGATCAGGTTTATCAGCCAGAATAAAAAAAGTGAAAGCCAAAATAAACATTATGAATGTAAATGTCTGCTATATAAAATGAAAAAAAACTATCAATTTGCCCTTTCTCTTTAATATGAGTTTAATTATTTTTTTAATTCCTTGTAAATCGTGTATGATTTGCCTGGCAGGCTGATTGAAGTGTCTTTACTTTGAAATCAGTGCAATCCAATCTATTCATATTTTGTTCTGTACATCTTCTCAAGTATACAGAGAATCATGGATTGTGACTTTGTACATGTACTAGTAACCTGACCTGACTGTTAAACAATGATCAAGACAAGTGTTACTACCATCAACTAAGTCTGACTCACAGTAACAAAGACAAGCTAGTAAATTTGTCTAACTTAATTAGCATGCTCACTGTTACGCCTAATATGCGATCGTTTCATTGTGTTAACTACTGAATTAGCTTGACTGTTTATTAGGAAAATTAGGAAATTTGGATATTAAACACATTGTACTAACCAGTATACAGTTTATAAAAGAAGTTTAAATAAAATAGACACATATTGTAGCCTCCAGCACATTCTCTGATGTTCCTACCATGATAATAACACAGATTCACAATATAAAGAATCACACAGATATAACACTGCTTGGTAACCTAGCATTACCTCCAAACCATTTATTAAATTACTTTAGAAAATGATTGTCCAACCATTGATCTAATAAAAGCAATAATGAGCTGTGAATTACTGGTATGATTGGAATCTTTAGCTTCTGACAGTGTCTGGTTATAATCGATGGTTTATAATGGAGGAATAATATCAAAGGACGCCTCTTCTCATTTGTCATCAAATTTACAGTGAAATGTCAGCTACTGTTTATAGCTTTAGGATCTATTTGCTGCCAGTTCTGGCTATTCCTTCACACTCCATTTAGCATAACGGCTGACTCACTGACAGACATGAGCAATGGACCCCGGCACTTCTGTGCCATTTTGTACCATTTTGGACTCATCAATTTACTAGATGATGTTTTCACAGCTGATTCGTAGGTCAGCGTTAATGTCTTGGACACTGGTTAGAATGATAAACTGATGGGGTGGGGTGGTGGAAAACCATGAAAATGCAACAAACATGTCATCGGAGCATATGGTGTCAATGAAATATACATTACGTCTTGATCAATAAACCGCATGTACATACACATTGGGGTGGCCACGACTCCATCCCCTACTAGTACTGTTATTAATACTAATGGTTACTAGGTATGTTTGTAATATTGGTTTACTCTATATTTCACCACGGTGTTTAGATACAGTTGGGATGACTACATCTGTTGAAAGATTGTGCAAAGCGGTGCTTGATGCATTCTCCAGTCCTGTTTAATGTAGAGTCAAGAAGACCAAGATGCCTCTGCTCACAAGCACCATAATCTCTGACTGGGATAATGTGCAGTTATGTGGTAGACATAGCCTTTCAGATCAACTAAAATTTGTTTGGTTTAAACAGTTCTAGATTTATACTATTTATACTATTATTAATTAATATAAAATAATTAAACTGTTAATGAATTTATTTAATTATGATTGCCTCGTGTTAATTTTAACAAATTGTAGATCACTGCAGCAGATGCTGGAAAACTAAATGATATAGTATCACGGATAAAGTTTCAAATGAATGCCTACATTGTCAAAATACTTTGTGCTTTATTAGTAAACAGAAATTGATCGTAACCAGAATGAGTTCCCCAATTGTCAAACACTGTGTAATTGTTGGCACCACCAATTTAGACTTTCTGATTTCAATATAAACTATGTGTTAAAATTATAGATAAAATTTTTACCCAAACTGAACCGGAAAAGTTATATGCTGAGTCTAAGTGATTTATAATTCAGACCTCAGTGCCAAAGTGAGTGATTGTGAAATCTTGGAAATAAGTGTTGTAAGATTTTGCCATAGACAACATAATATTAAAATAATAATAATTTATACCTTTCAGGCTCACTTAATATTCTGTTTAATTATGTCAACAGTTTGAAGACTCATCACTCTAGTTGGTTGATTATTTGGTGACATTATATTATGCATTTTCTTCTATTTTGAGTGAAAGCAGTTGGTCATATACTTACATTTACCATACATGTAAATATTATTTTCAACTTCTTGAAAACTGTTTGTCTGATTGATATTTTGTGAATGAGAGTGGCTATACATCAGATCTTGTAAGTCATAATCATACACAGTGATAGACAGTCCATTGAGGGTACATACAGATGTTAAAGATGTCTTACATGTACATGTATGTGCCTTAATGATGGGCAGTCCATTTGGCAAATATAGATGTTAAAGATGTCTTGCGTGTTTTAATGATGGGCAGTCCATTTGTCTTGATGATCCCTAAGTAGACCTCACAGAAGGCCTGATAGTTACAGTAAAGTGCAGCAATGTTCTGAAAAAAAGAAATATGGTGGTCGGTAATCTGTTGGATTTTAGGTGAAACGTAAGCGCTCTTACCGTGCGTCATGTTTCACTAGCATCTAGCAAAGCCGTAGCAGTCTTTAAAGAGATTAGTTGACCAAACACCAGCTGGGAACCCAAAGAACACTGCATAGTATCGGCTTGACCCAGTGGTTGAGGGTTTCAAGTACACGTCAAATCATTTAGCACACCTGCATATAAAAGATCAATAAATACCGGATTTACGTCTCGGGAGTGTTCCCTTGTAACCATGGTGTACACGTTTACTAGCATAGTCCATGTGATTAGTTAGTGCAGGTGTCGTGAGCCTTAACAACAGTACATTGCTATTACATGTCATGATTTCAGTTTATCTTCATTATTACAATTTGTAATAATGTTAATAATGCATTCTTTTGTGTATATCATCGTTGCAGACACACAAGTTTGAGTAACGTTGGCTAATTTTTTATATTATTTTTCTCACCAAGTAACGTTCGTTTGCAAAATGATGTTAATTTTGTTCAAAACTCAGTTGAGATTAAAGAAATAGTATGCTAAAATTGTATGGCCAAACAACTTATAACTATAACTTGTCTGTCGTCGTCCGTGTCAATGTTTTACTTTTTCGACTTCTTCTTGAAAACTACAAGCCTGAATGCTTTGATACTTGGTGTATGTACCTTGGGTAGACCTTTCTCAGATTTGTTCATTTCATGATCATATCTTCAATTCTCTAATTTTGGTGAATATTTTTGTCATTTTTGGTAAAAAGTGATATTTTCGACTTCTTGTTAAAAACTTCAAGTCCGATTGCTTTGATATTACATATATAGGTACTACATGTGGATCTCTCTCAGATTTGTTCATTTTGTAATGATATCTTCAATTCTCTAATTTTGGTGAAGATTTTTGTCATTTTTGGTAAAAAGTGATATTTTCGACACAAAAACCACAATCATTTATAGTGAAAAATGATATTTTTGAATTCTTGTTGAAAACCGCAAGTCCAATCATTTATAGTGAAAAATGATATTTTTGAATTCTTGTTGAAAACAGCAAGTCCCATTGCATTGATACTATGCATATTGTTCATTTTCTAATGATATTTTCTGTTCTTTAATTGAAATGTGCATTGCTAACAGCGGAGCTAACCCAGTCGAGGGGCTGCTTGTTACTTTTTCGACTTCTTCTTGAAAACTCGAAGTCTGATAGCTTTGATACTTGGTGTAGACCTTGGGTAGACCTTACCTAAATTTGTTCATTTCATGATAATATCTTCAATTCTCTAATTTTGATGAATATTTTTGTCATTTTTGTAAATAGTGATATTTTTGACTTCTTGTTGAAAACCCTAATGTCGATTTATTTGATACATATTTTTCATGATGATATCTTCAATTTTGATGAATTTTTGGCTTCATATATCTCAGCCAATAGGCTGCTTGTTAAATAGTTTTGGAAGAACTGTATTTCCTCATCAACTTCAGACATTGCACTGTAGCTAAAGCTGCACAATAGTTAAGTATAATTATCTGTAGTGATTACACTCTGCACGTTAATATCACCTGTTTATAATTAGATGGCTGCCATGTGGCCATATTTTGAGTACGGTAACAGAATCACACCAGTTATCTTCACTCAACAGTTATTCAGATTTTGTGATCAAAGATGGCTGTCTTGTGGCCATATTTGGAGTGAAAGAATCACACCAGTTATCTTATTCAACAGTTATTCAGATTTTTAGGATAGTTTGGATAATTAATTCTTTTATTAATATAATTATATTTTTCAGGCACTTGGTTGTTTATACTTTATTCATGAAAGTCTTCAGAATATATTCTTGTATGATTTTGAAGGTGAGTACATAAAATAGTTTTACAATGATTCAATTGAAATACTCATATGAAGAATGAAAGTACAAGGTAAAACATGAATTCCACCATAACAATTAAAAATACAAATTTGATGCCATCCAATTTGTGATTCTGGCAATATGGTCTCTTGATTGGACACTCAATCTTTATACTACCAGATGATTAAAAAAATTAAATTAAATTTGTGAATACTATTATGATCTTGTGCATTGGTGCACTTTTTAGATGGGAAGCCTGTAGAGTGCAGAGATTTACAAGCAGAACTGTCAGTGTAATGGTTTCACCTAAAAGCTGACATGCCTTCACTGATTGCAATCAAATTTTACAATTATCCCCGGTACATTGTGTATCATGTCACTCACTATCAGCATTTTTTCAAGTTCCAATTCAAAATGGCTGACTCATTTCAGTGTTTATTATTATTGAACATCTTTTGTGTCATCTTTTCACTTCAGCTCTCAAGTTCAGATTTATAAGCGGGAAAGACATCTACACAGGGAGCAAGTTGTTTGAAACAAAGACCCATGAGAAACTCAAATTCCCCATGGAGTTTTTCCCAGAGGTATAGTCATAGTACAACCATCATAATCTTACTATACTTCCCCGATCATAAACCCAGGGGCCTGAACATGTAAAATCGGGAAATTAGGGGGTGGGCTTATACTCGAGGACCCCTATGAAAAGAACATTTTTGTGGGTGTTTAAAATTGTAACCATCTTCTCATCTACAAACAATTACCCAAATTAATAAACATTACGTCTTTTGAGAGAAAAAAATGCGAAACGATTGAGTTGTCATTGATTTCCACAACACTTTTTACAATGAAGAAACAAACATGTTTATGAAAATATGCACATTTTATTACAATATGGTTTACACACCGAGAAAACAGTCAAGGCAAGATCTTTATCATTATCTTCTTTGTGGAATGTTTTCGATCGTACGCAAACTCTTGATACAAAGCAATTTCTTCCATAATGTTTTTCATAATGTTTTGACCTGAAGCAACTTTCTTTGACCTAACAGGTTACGTCTTTCATTAACCAATCAAAATGCTGCGTTGTACAGACAAAGTTTTCCGATTATTGTAATTTTAATAACGCAATCCGGAAGTGAATTATCAAGATGTTAAAATGCAATCTGTTAATACTGATTTCAACAAAAAATGTTGATTTTACCCTAAAAGTGATTGTTTCTCAATTTTCGAAAGGTAAACTGAGGGTAGAGGAAGTATTTAAACCTTTCACGGTCACCAACAGGTCGTGTCAAAGAATAGTTTGCTCGTTCACACCCCATTCATGATAGTCTCAATGGACGTGATTATTCAGAAAAGTTATTCTATGACCAGGTTTCATGACTTAATTGACGATCATATTTTTGGCGTTTTGAAAACTACTACTCAAAAGAAAAATGGATTACTTCAGTATTGCAACATCGGGGTCCATCCTGAGTAAAAACAGAATAGAATAGGTGTGAACCATGTTCTGTACGCAAGTTTTCTCATAAAAGCAGGAACTAAACTACCATACCAATCACGATTTTTATGCAATGAAATACACTTTTTACATGCATATTTTGATAAATGTCGTCCGGTAAAAACACTTTGGGCTATGTCTAAAAACAGAAGGGTGGGCTTATACTCGGGGAGGGGCTTATGATCGGGAAGTACGGTATTAGTCATTGTCATCATAATTTTTTATTAAATTAGCAAATATTTAAACTTAATTTCAGACGAGATGGTCAAGGAAGGGATTTCTCAGAACAAGATGGAGTATAAATGACAGGTCAGTATCCCTGGTAATCTGTGAGTAATGCATATATTAATGGAGCTACTTTGTGATAGATACGTGTATATAGGAAATATAGTAAATATTATTTACAAAGATGTCACAGTAATCAGGCATGTACCTGTAACATCTATCTTTGCTTTTTCAGCATATTTGATTTGGTTGATATTCATTTATTTCACGATGCTTCAAACATTATTGCTGCCGAGAAAGTGAGTAAATTCTATTTTTATTTTGGTTATTTAGGGATTTTTTCTTTGGGAACAATATGTCAAGAGCAATGGAATTTCTGTTGTACAGACAGGGGAAACAAATTATAGAATTTCTGTTGTACAGACAGGGGAAACAAATTATGGAATTTCTGTTGTACAGACAGGGGAAACAAATTATGGAATTTCTGGCACACATTCCATAAGAATAAGGGTATTTCTGGTAAACAGAGTGTGGGACAATTCCTGGTACATAGAGTATGAGAACAGTTGAATTTCTGGTGTACTGACTGAGAACAGTGGATTTTCTGGTGTGCATACTATTATAACAATGGAATTTCTGGTACACAGACTGCAGGAACAATGGAATTCTTGGTGTGCAGATCTCGAGAATACTGGGAAAATATAATTTTGTATGCACTTTAATATTGTTGGATGAATTGGATTCCATTTGTTTCAGAGATGATGACATTTCTGGTTTTCAGACTAATGAACAATAGCATTTCTGTTTCTAAGAATATAAAAAATTAATGCCATTCCTAGTTTGCAGACTGAGAACAATGTCATTCCCTGTTTCTAAGACTGAGAATTGTGGTATTTCTTGTTGTAATTAAGGCACAAAGACTTGAGACTAAGAACATTCTTGGTTTCCACTTTTCACCAATATGATGTGTATAATTTTGTGATCACCCTGTTGTTGCATACATATATGTTCACTCATATGTTCCCATATCATGAAACCACCTCAACTAGCATCTAGAAAGTATGAACTAAAGTCAGAAACTGACAAACACGCTGACGTAAATATACATACAGTCACACACATACACTGATAGACAAATGGAAAGACACTGACACATTGACAGTCAGATAGACATGGATTGACAGACAGACAGACGGACGGACACAGACAGATGGACGGACAGACATTATGCACTGACATACCTCTGAATACACAATACATTTTCAATGACAAGCACAATTTCTCGCTCAGCTCTGTTTCATTAACATGTAATCATCTTCATACAATTCTACCAATACTCCAATTATAAATCACACTATCCCCTTCTGATGTATTTATCTGACAGCAATGCTCATTCAGGTGCAACTTTGTATAATTGATGTGTGTCATCTGTTAGTGTAAAGATCAAACACTATTCTGCACCAATGTATGACATGGTAAGGCTAGTACACACTAATGTCTGATATAATACACACCAATGTATGACATAATACACACTAATGTATGACATATTTAACACCAATGTATGACATAATACACACCAATGTATGACATAATACACACCAATGTATGACATAATACACACCAATGTATGACATAATACACACCAATGTATGACATAATACACAAAAATGTATGACATAATACACAAAAATGTATGACATGGTAATTTGCACTTTCTGATATTTTTTTTTTCTTTACAGTCTCCATCAACATACTCCAATCATCGACGAAAAGCATTAGACCATGCAATACAGCGGTATGTTTTAAGTACTTCCTGTTGTATTTAATACTCACCAACAACAAAACATTTTTTGCCTTGCACATGAAACACACACTTTAATATCAAGTTTTTTTTGGGGGGGGGGGGGGGGCGTCACATCGTATATACTAAATCTGGTAACACTCTCACAGTATGTTTTTGTTTCTTACCCAGAGTGCATTGCCTACATATACATGTACATAATTAGTGGTGTTAATATTTAGTTACCCCTTCTATGGAGCACTGCCCACCATATTGTACTGATTTGATCATGTGTCGTCAATGTAACTGTATTTCAAAATGAATAATATTAAATTATTGCTTCGCCAACTACGCTGTGCATTAGTTGGTAACACTCTATCACTCCATGAAATAGACACTAGTATTGCTACACCAACTACGCTGTGCATTAGTTGGTAACACTCTCTATCACACCATGAAATAGACACTAGTATGCTACA